CTTTAGAGAAGATTTTACACTAGTACTCCTCAAACTCTTTATTGAAATTGAAAGGGAAGGAATACTTCAACAGTAATTCCTTAAAGGAAGCATTATCTTGATTCCAACAGAAAAGGACCCAACCAAAAAAGTCCAATCTACAGATCAATTTAAAGGCCAATCTCTTTAATGAACATAGGTTAAAAAATCCTCAATAATATACTGACAAACAGAATTTAGCAAATAATAAAGAAAGATTATACATCATGACCAAGTAGGATTCAGTCCAAGGATGCAAGGATGGTTCCCTATATATGAATCAATAAATGTGATACACCACACAAAGAGAAGCAAGGACAAAAATCACATGGTCATCTAAATAGATGCAGAAAAAACATTAAAAAATCCAACATCTATTCATGATTAAAATATTGAGGAAAATAGGAACAGAAGGTCTTTATCTTACCTTGATAAAAATCATCTATGACAAACCAACGGCCAACATTACACTAAATGGGGAAAGGCTGAAAGCTTTCTCTCTCAAATCAGCAATGAGACAAAAAGTCTACACTACCTACTTCTATTTAATTTCGTCTGAGAAAAAATTAGCTGGATCAATAAGACAAATGAAAGAAGCAAAAGGAACATGGCTAGATGGAGTTGCATTTTCATAATTTGCTGATGATATGATCTTCCACATAGAAGACAAAGTCAACACTCAAAAATCTATAGATTTCCTGTGCAACAATAAAATCACTGAGAAGGAAATTAGGAAAGCAATGCCTTTTGCAACAGCATTAAGAAAAATTAAATATTTAGGCCTTCACCTAACTAAGTGCGTGAAAGACCTCTACAATGAAAAATATAGTATTCTAGAAAAGGACATTGGAGAAGATATCAGAAAATGGAAAGATTTTTTTGTTGTTCCTGAAGGCAGAACCAATAGAGCAATGGCCAACCTTGTAAAAGTATTACTGTGTACCTAAAATGTACCAATAAACTCAATGAAAAACATTATTACATAGATTTAATACAATTCCAATCAAAATATCAATAACATTACTTTAAAAACTGGAGAAAGTAATCCTAAAATTCATATGAAACCAGAAGAGACCTAGAAGCAAAAGCCATTCTTGGCAATAAGGGCAAAGCAGGGAAGAAACACCCTCCAGGCACACTCAGCTGTTATTTTTTACAAAGGTGCCAAATCTTTTCTCTGGAGGAAAGAAGGCCTCTTTAGCAAATGGTGCTGGGAAAACTGGCATTCCTTCCACATGCAGAAGGTTGAACAAAGACAATGAAACTGTAGTTTCCAATAAAGCCCAGCGGATGCTAAACCAGCATATAAAAAAATCTCCACTTTTACAGTAGGTCATATGGAATCCAAATCTGGATATTATTGTCCCCTTCAGTTTAGGAAGGAAAAAATAGTTTAGCTTTAATAACATGATACAGAGGACATCTGTGGCTCTAACACTGATATCTTTTATACAATGAATTCAAGAAAGTGTGAAACAGTTGTACACACATAATACATATTGATATAGTTCAAAAATAAATATGTAAAATATAAGTGTGTTTCATTACCTGGCAAATATGGCAATGCCAAATGAATTGGCTGAGGAAAAAGAGTGCAGTAAAGGTGTCAGTACACAGAGTCCTATTTTCAGAACCGAAACTGCAGGAATACATTTTATAAATAAGATATATATTTTCTAAAACAATACTGCAACTTTATGTCATTAAAGATAATTTTATCAACACGGACAAGGGGAAAAATGTGAACCAAGACCTGTCATGCAAAGGTATAAGATCCCAATAAGGAATACAATTGTATTGTATGCTTAAAATGTACCTATAAACTCAATAAAAAGAAAAAAAAGATAATATATCAAGTTTTAGTCAAACAAGGTCCACACAGATTAAAATAATATTAAATTAGTGTTATTACTTAAGGTAGTAATGAAGATAAAGTGTTTCCTCATTCTTCTCGTACAGTTTTCTCATAGCTGTGAAAAAATATGGGTATTCCACTCAATTTGAAAGTTTCACAACTTAATGTAGAATCAAGAATATTTTAGGTGCGCCAACAATGAGTATGTTAAATATAAAACATTTGCATTACTTACTTAGGTTATTTTTGAATCTGAATTTCTCAATTGTACATAAAAGTATTTAACTAACCCATAACCTAAATAAATATCAACCACTTTATTAGTAAGTAAAATACTTTATTGTCAGCAAATATAAATTTAAAAAGTGCAGAAACTCATGAAAATTTCACACTCTGTGCTTATGTACAAATTTTACAATATGTCTTGTTTATTCTGTATAATCACACATGCACACATGGACATGCATGCACATATATGTATTTATTAGACTATGATAAATAATCAGTAGTGTGTTAATGCCTTTTTTACACACATACACCTTTTTGTGTGCACATAAACACACTCAGGCTTAATATACTGATCCTGGTCATGTTATTTACTTTTCATGAAAGCCTTCAGCATAGACCTCATTTTTTATTATTTTTTCTCTAATTTGTTTTTCTTTTCTTTAAATATTAATCCACAAAGGTATTTTTATTTTTAGTATGATCTTATTCCATCGTATTGTCTTGGGGATGCCAATTACTGTCAGTTTAAACTCCTAGGCATTCTAGACATACTGAGTAAGATTCTCTGGGCTAAATATTCCATTCTTCATTTTTAACAACTACCATGGATGATTCTGATTCAGGATTTAGGACTACTTTTATAAAATGTTTAACACTAGTGCCTATAATGACATTCATGTTACAAACTCCAAAATGGATGTATCTCACAAATTTTGAACTCATGCATAGAGATATTTTCTCATGGCTATTTCAAAAATCTTCAACTAGTACACATTACGTTTATGTTCTAAACAGAATCTGCCTTGTAGATATTCTAAACAATTGTCAGTGACACCATCTCTACTCTCCTGAGTTTAAAATTCTAAAATTTATGGCTCAACCCTCTGTTTCCTCTGTCACATTTAGCTATCACTGACCTTAACCCTAAATATTTATTAAATCAGTCTCAGCACATGAGCTCTATCACCACCACCACAAACAAAAATTATATTGTATTGTTCTACACTGCATTTCCATCTTCCTATAGCTACTTTCTTTTCATTTTCATTTTGTCAATCACTGCCAAAGTAACTCTTCTTCAAACCAAAATTATATTCCTTGACAGTAACTAAAATTGTATTATTTTCTTCATTTCTTAATGATACAGTTGGATAATAGAGTCCTCCTGATCTACTTCCATTATTCTGCATTATTACTTGGAATTTATCTTATTTTAATACTTTGTAAAATCCATGAAAGCACCACTTTATAAATTCTAAATTTTTTCTTAGACTAGGTTAAAATGCCCCCAACCTCTTGGCATTATTGCTTCTTATTTAACTTCAAAAGTTCTTGTACAGACTTTCCAATTAAGTTTTTACCACACTATCTCCTTGAACTCTTCTCCTAGGACTTAAGTACAGTTGGTCCTTACTCTTCCAAAGAAGCTCTCACATCAAACTTATTGTATATGTTTCTTCTTTCTGTGGGAATGCCTATCCTGATACTCTGGTATTCTCTGACTTCACTTGTCCTCTTCTATGTGCACTTTTTATTCTTCAGGGATGGCAGAAGATTTTATGTAAGAGATCCCATGAATAATGACTGTAGGCATGAATGAAAAAAATTTGGGCTTAAACACTACGGAAAATGATATGATTTGCTATTGATAAATTTGTGTTCAGAAATTCATCAAGAAATATTTCATTTGTATAAAATAAAGGAGAATAATCAGCAACTGAGGCATGAGACATCAATTTCTATAGACAAAAACTAGTAACAAAGAATTAAGCAATGCATGATATGCAAATTTATGTTAGCATGGGTGCTTTTTGTAAATAAGTGCTGTTTACCAAAAATGTATAAATATTGGGATTTTAAAAAACTGATTGAAAGCAATAAAATTTCAAGAAGGATCCTTAGAAAACCTAGATGGGTGCTTCCACTAGATAAACTGTCAAAACAGCACATCATTATATAAAATTACAGACTATCAACTTTTGCAGTAATCCTTTTCATGGTTTAAAACAAAATATTCATGTCAAGGTCTTGGATGGGTTTAGGGACATTGATGATAAACCCAAACTATTCTTCCAAACATTAGTATACTAAATACAGCAGACTACTGCAAGCTATATTTGAGCCAAAAGGACTAGGTTTGTCTCTTCGAAGGATCTGACATGTGATAAAGATTTCCAATAGGTTGAGTGTTTTTCAGTTCTAGGGTGACTTTCTAAGAGCTGCTGCTTTATGAGAGTGGAGAATAGCCCTAATAAAGAAATGAAATTCAATATTTTGCATATAATTTCCTTCCTCTGTAAAGACTTCTAAGTCAAGCCCCATTCTTGACAACCTTTCATTTAACTGAATGCCTCATGTGGGAGAAAATTTCCATTTCTTCTGTATAAAACTGTTGTTTGAATATTCTTATTAATAACAATGGGTAACATTTTAACAATGGTTGCTGGGCATGAATGGTCTAAGCACATTACACATATTAATGCTTCTAATTCTCAGAACAATCATATGAAGTAACTATTATTATCACCCAAATTATAGTCAGAGTGACTGAGACATAAGAACATTAGTTAATTTGTCCAGCGTCTCAGAGCCTCTAAGTGAGTAAGCTTAAGTGAGTAAGCTCAAATACAGCAAGCTGTCTAATTCAGAAACTGTACCAAACAACCATCCTTAGCTGCTGTTTGGAAACTAACAAAACATATAGGAAAAAGAGAATAACAAAATAAAACAAGTTAAGAAATGCTACAAATTAAAATTTTTATTTTAATATGTTTTCTACCTCTTTTTCTAAAATAAAAAGAAAAAGGAACACTTTAAATGCTCTCTATTCACACATAGTTTCCTTTTATGTGTGAGATACATAAAATCCAGAAGAATTTAAAGGGAAATACGTCCTCGTTTCAGTGCTATGCATGTATGAAACCATCCTTGTCTTCTACACAGCTGAGACACTGTTGTGCAATGATGTCTCTGTCCTTTAAAATGGAAAAGAAGGGATTGAAGTCCATTTCCTATTCCATGTTCTATTCTTCAGATTCTATACAGAGAAAATGCGAAGAAATATGTGTAATTAAGTAAAACTGATAGGACAGAATTAGTCAATTCAGTTTTGAAATTGAATTTCAACCTGTTCCTGTAAACATCTCAACAGTATTTATATAAATAACACTAAAATGCATCTGTTATTTAGCCTTGAGTAAGATTTTCCTTATCACTGAAGTTTAGGGAATATCACTTAGGGGAAAAAAGCAATTTTAAGGTTATCATATAAGTGACAAAGGCATTAATCTGACAAGATATGCTCAAGAGACCCAAGATACAGCTGCAGAAATCCTTTTGGAGCTCTCACCCATAATTTCACAGTGTGGTGTAATTAACACACTTCATAGGATTTAAGGAACATTTGTTGCTTCTCTATCAGAATGCAAATTGGAGAATGATATGGATCTGTATAAGAGATGGGAACAACTGTTGAGGTAATAACTTGTGCACTACTTCCCAGCGCGGAAAGAGGTGACAGATACAGCACCACTCAGGTTTTATTAGGGAGGTAACATATGTTTTACTGCAGTACAAATGCTACACCCAGACATGTCATAAAAGGAACTAAAATTAAAAGGTTTATTGTCGTCGTGGAATTTCTACTCTTCATTTTCTTAAAAGCTATATTAAATAATAGAGCCCACTGTGGTCTGAAGAGTGCATATGTGTGGATAATTGGAAATACAACCATCAGAACAACAAAAATCTTCACGAGGTCAGCAGCTTCTACTCAAACAGGAAGACATCACCTCAACCATAAGACATATAGACTGGTAAGAGTGTGTATAGGCTTGCATGTGTATGTTTGTGTGTGTGTGTTCACACAAAACAGTGACACTAAAAATCACTTTCTTTTCCTAAGATTTATTCTCTTTAGTAATAGTTTGCAGCATCGGATATTATAATCAATTAGATAAATAATATGCTATTTTGTTTTATACTCACGTAAAAAAAACGGCATTACCTAAACACTTCACAAAATAGAAATAAGTCTAATTTAGTTTCTGTGCTAACTTTGAAATTTGCTCTAATCCAGACTGAAAAAAATGATGGAAATAATCCACTGCATGATACATTTTTTAAAGCTTTGGATATCAAAACGTAATTCAAGGTTATGTACTGTTTTCACTGAACAAAAAATTCAAAGCCAAGTGAAAAATATAGAAATTCATGTTCTTATATGTGTGTATTTGTGCATTCAGGGAGCTACAATATATATAAAGAAAGAAGAAATACTGTGCTTAATAATATATAGTGCCCAAAATTTCCTTATTATTTAAAAAAATTGGGCACATTTTCTACAGAAATTCTCACCACGTTTGCTCATATCCATTGTGATTTCATCTGAGACAAAAATAAGTAAACAGATAAATCCAGAAATATACAACAAACCAAGGCTGCCTTAATATACTCAGTTTTGGAAGAAACCTGATCCAAGAGAATGCACCTACGCTTTTATACACATAAAACTGCATCGAAGACTCATTTATCCCATATGTCTCTTATTTTTATTTAACTACAGACACATTATTTTAAGCTTTCCAGATTATTTTGGGTGTGAAAGCAATATTTCTTTATATCTACAGTAGATTTCAAAAATAAATTATGAGAAATGTAGTGGCTAAGCTAGCCTGAGCGGCATGCTGAATAAAATCAAAGTCTCATTATCATACAACATGAAAAGAAGCTATGAGCCCCTAAGTAGAAATGGTGCTTTTGAATTCTAAACTTTACTCTATAGACCATATATCAAAGCATATTGAAAAGGAGAAATCTACCAGAAAGAATAAGAAATGAAGTCTATGTCGAAGTTAAGCTTTCTTGCAAGTAGTCAAAGGGAAGTGCAACACTACTGAAGTAAGTGGAGTAGGTAAAGATGTAAAAGGAGCACATGCGACTCTACTCCAAGTGCAGAACTTATGAAGCAATAAGAAGCCGAACTTCACGTCTATCAATTCACTGCTTCCTCCATTCATTCACTGAGAATGTCTTTTTCATAACATAAAAGAAAGGAATGATAAACTGAACAGTTAGCCAAGTGACTTTATTGCTATACAGTTTGGCGTAAGCTCTTTAACAGCTCCGAGCCCAGTCACAAAATCTGAGAAGAATAGCAAGTCCACAAGTGTACTTTGCATAGACCTGCAAGTATGTTTCAAGCAGACTATAAACCCTATGGAATTATTTCTTATAGTTATACAATGGAAAAGGGGGTGAAGTAGGATATTAAAAATTTGGAGTATTAGTTCTATTTCATTTACCAAATTTTATTTTTGAATGGAATTTTTAAGTAACAAATAATTATGTGCTTGTAGTTTGTGTCTCTACCCTCTGAAGGCAAATGATCTTACCATCTAATCTTTAAGTGGAACTGATTATGATGAAGTTATCTATACCCATACAGAAACAGAAAAGGCTTACCTCGGGAGCAGGTTTTCTAACATAATAGGAAATGTCTTGCTTTTGTCAGTTTTCAGCCAATATTTGCTGTATGTGCCTATTTAACCTATTGATGTGAGGTCAGAAAGAATGAAATCATATAATGTCAGGCAGTTAGAGATAATAATTTTGAGGAAATGTATTTTAATTGGAACATATGTCCTAAAACACATCTAAATTTTAATCATGTTTATATTGTTATAACTTCACAAAAATATTCCCGGAGAAACTTATTACCACACTCTGATTCATGTAATTTTGTACTTCCCAGATGCCTCTAAATGACAAAAAGCAGTAAAAATTCTGAGGTTTGCTCTATAGTATAAAACCACAGTTTTCTCTATGAACTTTACTTGGAGAATTGAAGAAAGAAAATTGTGATCATTTTTTTGGTACCAACTCACATACAATCTCCTGACTGATTTGATGACATATAAACTAAATTAATTTCAGAAAATATAACTTTAATATTGAATAGCCATTCATATTTACCCATCAGGTAAGTTTTTAAAAAGAAAGAATTAATATTTTATCAAATGTGCTATCTACTTTTTACTATTTTACAAAGAAATAGAGTGTTTTTCTTTCTTTAGACTAATATAAGTGAGACCTTGACTCAGGCATCAAAATGCTCATTTTACCTTAATCTATAATACAGTGTTCTAATCACATCAAGGTAGTTGAAAATTAAGTCCAGATGATCTGAAAAATCAACAATAATGCATATGCAACAACCTTTTCAATTTTAATTTTAAATTTTCTTATGGTCATACTATCGTTATATTATCTGCTTGATAATTCTTTTAAGAAAGAACTCTAGCAATACATTAAAACTGTTAAATTTTTTATGTTTAAATACCAAATTAATGATCTTACAAATGAAAGAAATTGTCATTATAAGAGAGTCTCAAATTGATTCTGATTTGCAATTTTTCCCAGGGTTCAAATACGTTTAGGTACATATAGTGACTAGTGGCATCTCTTCCTGATCCATTTTCAGACTCATTATTTTTATATGAGAATAAAGAAAAGTATATTATTCTCAGAAGATTGCATTTGTACAAGTATAGTTTAAAAATAGTGTCTGAACTTGGAAAGTGTCTTAGGATCTATCAGAACTTCCTATTTCAAATTCCTTAAATCTTAAATTATTCTTTTTTAATCTTAAATTATTCTTAAACAGAGATGTCTGAAATAAAAAGGAGGAAGGAAAAATTGTATTTACTTCCTGCTGACATACTTTAAGCAATTTTTAGAAAACACAGTGGTGTCAGAAATGTCACCATTTCTACTCACCCTTAACTCACTATGTAGCCCAGGCTGGCCTCAAACTTGTGGTTATCCTCCTGCCTCAGCCTCCCATGTGCTTTCAGTTTTAGCACCATCAGGAGATATTATGCAGGATGGTTATTTGCCTCTCTGACACTATCCTAAACTGTTGGCAAAGACGTTAGTAGGCACCATCAAGACTGATGACATATTCATTGGACACCAGGTAGTGACTTGTTACTTCTGACATTGTCATTAGTGTGTAGCAGAGAGTGAAGAATGGGAATATTTAGCTTGTTTTCAAATTTAATCAAAATAAGCAAGAGAAAGACCTATTACTGATTTCTACTGTGACTTACTTGGGCTTATTGTTCTCCAGCACTTACTCCTTCAACTTCTAGGACATACGGCTCAATATCTAAGTGGCAAATCTGAACAGTAGAGAAGAAATAGTAGATGGAATTAAAAGTGTTATATTTTATTGATTGTTTCCTACATTTTATTAATTCAAATGTGATTTTATGAATATTACTCTAAAATATAATTCATATAGAAGTTATAATAATTAAGGGCAATTATTTCAGTAAAAATAACTTTAGATATTGAAACTCTTTAGAGTAGATTGTCATGCAAATATTGTTTTCAATATGGGCATTTATGCTAATGGGGCATTTTTCAACATATTTAAGTCATATATACTATGTTTTATATCACTTTGTAATGAGCAAATTTTTTTGCCATATTTACCCATCACATTTGAATGTCAAAAAAGGACTCATTTAAAAATAAATTAGTATTTTGTCTAACATATTATGTATTCTTTCTTATCTTAAAACAATATATTTATATAACTGTTATAAGAAAGTTTAAAACAGTTAAACATTTAAAAAGAAAAAAAGCTTTGTTATGGCTATTGAGAAATGTCTGAATATGTAATACTCCATTAGTGAATAGCATGTGTTGTAATCTAAGAAAAAATTGAATGAAATTAAATTTTTATTTATTTTAAAATAATGATCCATACACTAATCACTGTATCATCAGCACTAGTTCTTTGCTGTGTAAAAATATCACAAAGTTCACTAGAAGAATAATATGTCAAAATGTTTTAGTGTTCTTCATCTGTATTTATACAAGTTAATTTTCTAACCAATCAAATTCAAAATTCTGCAATTGCGCAACCACAGGGACTACAGCAGATGAATTAAAGTAAACCATCTATAAAAGGATTGACAATAGAGATATCCACTAAGCGATATAAAATATATTCCACAGATCTAGTGTAAAATTAAGCGAAAGGATGTGGGCTTTAGATATAGCATGAGAAATATTTTTTAAAGTGAATGCGATTGTTTAGAGCTATAGTGAAATGACTCCAAAACAGTTAAATTGTTGAAAACTGTTGCTATTAAAAAAACAAACAGAGGAAAAACAACTCTTGAATGAGAAATGGCAGAGATAATCAATTACTGGAAATATTTAACTGTTTTATGTCTGTACTAATGAGTTATGAAGGCTTCAGAAAAAGGCTGATACCAATTTCAAGTTAATGTTTATAATTGAGGAAATCCTGACTCAATATAGATGTAATTAGTTTACTCTGGAAGAATACAAGAAAGAGTTCATTCATATGAAATATGTAGTGGTTTGTTAAAAAACTTCAAAAAATCCCATTAAATTTATATATTGATCATTTTCATTGCATCATTTCATTTAGATTGTTCATGGGCAAGAAATATTAAAATATGCAATCTGAAGTTTAAAATAAGAAGCAAATATAAAATATAGATGAATACAATATAAAAGTTTCTGAAATTCAGATGTACAATAGAACAGGAATTCTAAATATTCCATACATCAAAGAGGTATTCCTGGGCTTACAGTAAAATTAAATAATATTCTCAAATGTAGACAATTCCAAAGGATTGTGAAAATGCTAATAGTCTTGGTTTATATTCCTTCATCAAATTTCATAAACTATCTTTCGTTCCAGATTGAAGAGTGGTCCTACAAGAAAGCAATCACTATAATTTATTTAATCCATTATGGTACATAAAGATCTAAAATTTATTTTATCTGATAATGAGTAGCCAGATCCATTTTAAAGATATGAATAGATATTTTCGTGTTTATTTGCAAAAAATGTATGAGTCATAGTAAAAATTTTAAGATTTTGAATACTGTCCTTTGGTCATCATACTTATTTTAGTTACTAGTTTTAAAATACAATTTGAAGGGCCAGGGATTTAGCTCAGCAGTTCAGTGGCCTGCCTTGCAAGCACAAGGACCCGAGTTCAATCCTCAGTACCAAAAATAAATAAATAAATAAAATTAAATAAAATAAAATTTGAAATGTTTATCTTTCTCCAACTTACAAATTCAATTACATAGAAATCATTAAGTAATTGCTACATTATGGGCCCTGTATTAGATATTGGAAGGACCATAATGAAAAGGATAGGTTCATCTGAAGAGACAGCAAAGTACGGCTATGATATCAATTTGCCAAAGGCAAAAATGTACCAGATGCTGTGGGCTTTTATATAAGAAATAAAGTAAATCATCTGTAAAGGGTTGTGCAAAAGGAGAAATTCATTAAATAATATAAGATATATTCCACAAGAATATAATTTTTATTCTGAATTTCATCTTGATAGAAGAATCTTGATACTCTCTGATGAATACCGTTACTGATCATCACTGTAATATGTGGTACTGCATAACATTGTCTTTCAGAAAGATCAAATATCTTCCCATTTATATCTTTTCTGATCCCTCATCCTGATTTCTACAAAATCTAACAGTCTGAATAAGTAGATTTATCTTCACTTTTCATAAGAATTATGTTCTGGATACTTGACATAATCATAGCCTCAAGTTTATTAGGGCTAATACTATTTGATTTTATATCCCAAAGTTTGGATCATTTAATAATTATACATCCAATAGAAAATATATAAAATAATTTGAATTATGAGCTTGAAGTTATATCAAAAGCATTTAAATTAAGTTTTTAAATATATTTCTGTATAGTATTAACATGTATTGGGCAAACCTCTAGCCTGGCTACAAATCTGAGCAAAATGTCACAGAATGCGTGTCCCCAAGCACACTTCTCATATGTTCAGCTCCTTTCAATATATGCCCTATATATTCCTTTTTTTAATGGGAATGACATAACACACTTCATAACATACCTTGGACTATCTAACTCTTCTGTTGTAGACTTAGTTTAATTTATTTGACCTATTTTACTGCCTTAGTTCCCCCCACCCGACCCCCCAGTAGACACGAGAAGCACTCAGGACTGTTGTTTAACCTCAAATCTGCCACCTTATTTCCTGAAATAATCACAACTACTGTTTTAGAGTGTTAGTGAAAATAAGACAGGGCTTCCCATTTCTAGGCAGCTGTGCACAAAATTACAAGACATCAAAACTCTCAGAAGTCACTTTTAGGTTACTAAATTTTTTCTTCTTCTTCTTCACATGTATCAGGATAAGAAAGCAACAAAACTCAGCCTTGAATCTACTCTGGACACATAGTCATAAAAAGATGATTGCTCTTCCTCTATCATGATATATAGGTAATGTACTACATTAAGGTACTAAGGAAAAGAGTCAATATGCCTAGAGGATTATCAGCTTTAAAATAATTTAATGGTTTAAAATGCATAAAAGAAACAAAATGAAAATTAATTGGGGGCTCAGTTGACTAAAAACTTTTCTTGAAAATGCTATTGCTAAATCGAATATATTGACTTTCCTATAATAAGTGAGAAAAAAAACTTTTATTTTCCTAATATTTAACAAGCACATCATCTAGAACTTAATGTCTTGTAGCCTTTCTTTTTCTTTGTTGAGTAGCTCTTGGAATTAAATCATGATTGAAAAACAGATATGAAATTATGAAAAAGTTATAAAAGTTCAGTATGGAAAAGGATATTGGAAATGACCTCATTTATGTCACTTCTACAAAGAAATCAGAAAACATATATACATCTGAAGTTGCTAGATACTGCAACTAGAATGCTAATGAGCAATATCATGACTCTAACTTCAAGAGGTAGCCTGACATGTTTCAAAGAATGAATTCAGCTAGGCATGGTGGTGTACTCCTGTAATCTCAGCACTCAGGAGGCTGAGGCAAGAGAATTCCTGTGAGTTTGAGGCCATCGTGAGCTACATCGTGAGTTCAAAACCAGCCTGAATTGAGACACTGTCTCAAAAAAAAAAATTCAGTTCAGTTCAATTTTTAAAATGTTTCTGAGCTAATGACAAATCTGCTTCTAAATTTGTTATCAGGTGCATTCAATGGAAGGGGGAAGGTGGAGGTCTGGGACAGCCCTGCAGAGACCCCACCCTCATTCCATTCTCAGGCTCCTGATTGTGCCAGTTCTCAGATCCACTCTGCAGAGCAACAGGTGGTCATGAAGGTCATTTTTCTGAGCTCCAGAATATATAACAGAAATGAACAACTGCAATAAAGGCACATCAAATTTCCATAGTGTGTAAGTTGGAGAGAGCACCACCTTCCATCAGAAATTTGAATATTTTCAGAGAAAGGGTGGCCCAAATTCAGCCTGAATCTCAGGGTTCAGCATTGGCTAGCTGAGACTAAAGGACTTAGTTCTTCACCTGGCTGTGCACATCGTCTGTATGACAGCAGAGATATAGTGTGAAAGAGGCTCTTCAAATTCTTTTCCTTCTTTCTTATCATCATTCTATTATGCAAATTATTTCTTTTTTCTGTCTTCTTTTTCCATATCAGTCTTTGCTCCCTCATATTATTCTTCATCTCCCTTTCTGTTCCTATTCCTGCCCTAATTCGGATTTCTTTTATCATTTTTTCTTCTCTCTTTATGTTCTGTTCCTCTCTTATTTTCCTTCACTCAAAGGTTAATAGTTTCAAAGTAAAGTGAGCCCCTATTACTGTAAGTTGTTATATTCTTGAACTTATTCTTGCACTCTGTCTTCCCCTCTTGTCTTCACCAGTTTCCTAAAGTTTGTGTGGCCATCCTGCGTCTTCTGGCTTAACTTGAAACCTTCTCCAATTCTTTCAACTACTAACTCCTCTCATCCTAACTCTGTCTAAGCCTTCATTCTAAAGGGTAAAGATGCTATTTTTCAGAGTTTATTCACTGGAAACATATTTTGGGTAACTCCATGATTTTGATTTAATTCATATGATTTAAAGGTGATTAATTAATACCTACACAAATGATTAATTTGTAAGTTTTGCTTGATCCTATTGTGTTGCTTATTTTATCAATTGGGCTAAAGGGTTGTGATTGATTTAATGAGTTGTCTTTAGTGATATTATGAAAATGAAAACATCAATGAGTCATTAAAGACTCAAAAGCTTAAGTACAACTATATCAGGAATATTTAAGTAATAACCCAGGAATTAAACCAAGGACAACCAAACAACA